TGCGAGGCTGGAAAGGTCAGACGTAACACTTAAACAGTCACCATTAATTGTCTGAAGCGATAAATCACGACTCGTGTTGGGAGACTTTCAGGAAGCAAATAGTTTGCAGCTCTGTGGTTAGAAATGACATCTAGTCATTGCAGCGTGATTCTGTGTGTGAAGGCTTTTGTGTAGCAGATGGACTGACTTCACACAAACTGTGTCGGTTCATATCGGGGACTTCAGGGAACAGCTGCTTGAGAAGCCAAGGGCTGTTCCATATCACCGGTCACCAGCTGAGATGCGGAGAGACAGTTGGACCTGTCTGGGAGAATGGGAAGAATTCCAGTGGTTTTAATCTCCGCAAGGAAAAGTTTGTACCACCCATGTACTCCTCTGTCTCCGAGACTCGTTCTGTCTGTCTGTCGGACGCATTAATGAATTGGTTTCAGGCTTCACGACTTTAGTTGATCATTCTCGGTAACTTATCATGCCTGAACAGGATAGTCAGAGAAGTGTCTCCGTGTTTGCTTCATAAATGCTTCCGATCCCCGACTGCCGCTCCGAACTGCAAGTGAGGATTGATCCTGAGCGTTGAGGCCTACAGACAATAACGGGGCTTCTGTAATTCCTCAAAAGAGCACAGCGAGAATCGCCCTTGCAGACTCCCCCCAGAAAAAGCCCACTCGCTTGATGCAGAACATATGAACTCAATGCACTACTGATTGACTTTGTTTGTAATTATTAAATTGTATTGTGCCACCTTTTTTGCCAATGGAGTTGCTGTCAATAAATTCGGGGAATCTTTTCCATCTCACGCCCGCCTGCCTGTGTTTCCCCCAGGTATGATGCGGGGAAGGATGGCTTCATCGACCTGATGGAGCTGAAGCTGATGATGGAGAAGCTGGGGGCTCCTCAGACCCACCTGGGCCTGAAGAACATGATCAAGGAGGTGGACGAGGACTTTGACGGCAAGCTGAGTTTTCGGGAGGTGAGTGGTCCTGCAGCTGTGGAGACAGGGCACCCGGTTTAGTTCTGAGAGAGCTTTGGTCGTGTGACTGCTTCAGGGTATCAGTCAAACTTCTCCGGGCTGCTGGAGCTGGGAAGACCTTTGGAGGAGATTGAAAGTTCTCGCATTCAGTCCCAGAATTCTCCAGGCTTGCTTCTGTACCACAGACGTATTGGCTAATTTCTAACCCGTAAGTTGACATGGTTCATTAATGAGTGATGCACCTCACCAGTTCGTCCTCTGCATCTTATTTTCTTTCTTGGACTTATCAATAAAGAAAATGCTCAAAATGGAGGAAAGTGTAAAGACTATATTAATTAAGAATAATATTGCCTATTTCCACAAACATTGCCACCACAAAAGATTGCAGAGGTAACCTTTGTAAAACGGTTTTTCCAATTCTAGGCATAGGTCATCCTCGTTTGGGTCGCTGACCTGATGTTTTTGGAATGTCCTGAGAAAAGAAGATGGCAGTAGAGTTACTGAAAACTACAGCACCTTTTTTAACAGAAGAGCAGAACTATCTGCAGACCTGGTGCTTTGAAGCCAGTTCTCAAGGAAATCCAAGCCTTCCTTGTCTAGATACATAGCACCCCCTTGTGGGCAAAGTATGTCTTTCAGCTCAGAGCTACATGAGCGTTGCCTCAGTCTAGAAGCCAGTGTTTGTTAATTAATAATAATTGCTTACACTTATATAGCGCTTTTCTGGACACTCCACTCAAAGCGCTTTACAGGAAATGGGGATCCCCTCCACCACCACCAGTGTGCAGCCCCACCTGGATGATGCGACGGCAGCCATAGTGCGCCAGAACGCTCCCTACACACCAGCTCTCAGTGGGGAGGAGAGCAGAGTAATATAGTCAATTCATAGAGGAGCCATTTATGTTAGGAGATGTGTTCATTGTTTTAGTTTGTGTTCCCTTCGGTGCATACTGCTGAGCACACTGCCCCAGCTTTTGTACGAAATAACCACACTCTCTCCTGATGTGATATTGATGATCATTTCTTTTCTGCAGCAAATCTCATGGTTTGCGGTGTTTCTAGGGCTCTGGTTGTCTCGCCTTATTGAGAGGATTAAGATCAGATCACTTTATTGGCCCTATACAATTTTTTGCATTAGGAATTTGTCTTTTCGCATACCCCAGCTTGCTCTCCACGAGACACACAGGGAGAGAAGCTGGGGGTCAGAGCGCAGGGTCAGCCATTTATACGGCGCCCCTGGAGCAGCTGGGGTTTAGGGCCTTGCTCAGGGGCCCAACGGAGTAGGATTCCTCTGCCGGCTGCGGGATACGAACCGGCAACCTTCTAGCCACAGGCACAGATCCTTAGCCACACTTTACTAGTGAAGCCAATGCAGACTAAAGCTTATACATTTTAAGACTTCGTCTCCTGGTTTGCAGGGGCATAAAACCGTTTTCACAAGAAACCAGCCTCTAGTGGGAGGTGTTATCCCATTTATTCTGTCCGGGAGCTGGGGCTGTGAGAGTTACCTGCAGGACTGTTTGGGCTCCACCTCTCTCTTGCCCTGGCCATCTGTCTCAACCCCCCCCCCTCCCCTTTGTCTCTGCAGTTCCTGCTAATTTTCCGAAAGGCGGCAGCAGGAGAGCTGGCGGAGGACAGCGGTCTGCACGTCTTGGCACGCCTGTCCGAGATCGATGTGTCCACAGAGGGGGTGAAGGGAGCCAAAACCTTCTTTGAGGCCAAGGTACGCCAGCGAGGTCCCCACAAGGATGGGCAAATCCTCGCATATCCCGTCTCGCTTGTGTTTCTGGATTTCTTGTCATCTCGGGCCTTAATGACTTCCTCATTAATGACTTCGACCATCCTTTCGTTTTCTGGTCGCTTTATCCAATTCCAATTGGGACACGGGGCAGCTGGAGCCTATCCCAGCCAGCAACGGGCACAAGGCAGGGTACACCCTGGACAGGACGCCAGTCCATTGCAGGGCACACACAGACACGAACTATCACACCTAGGGCATGTCTTCCCAGAAGCCAATAAAACTACAGGCATGTCCTTCGACTGAGGGAGGAAACTGGAGCACCCAGAGCTCTCCCCATGTGAACTAAGGGAGAACATGCAAACTCCACACAGACAGCACCCTGGGTCCAGAATCGACCGCAGGGCCCCACGGCTGTGAGGTGGTAATGCTAACCACTGTTCCGCCTTAAAAACTTAATTGAACCATTTTTCTGAGGTCATAAAGGGTGCTAATTAGTTAATTAGAAGTGCTTACTGTCTCGGTTAATTTCACAGCTCAAAAATTAAGTTAATGAGAGGGAGATTTAATCGTTGCAGATGTTGCCACTTGAACCCATGTTGAGTCTTGTTTACCCAGACAGCAAAGTCATGCTGATCCACAATGCCTGGTCCCTAAATTTTGTTTCCATTTAACAGATGATAATTATTCTAATACTTTGTGGTTAAATGTTGGAGGCTTGAGAATCCTGAAGCTCCTTCACAAACGAGCTGTGGTTCAGCGCTCTCGAACATCAATGATGCGAACGTTGCGGTTGCTGAGTGAAGATGCAGCCCTTTCTCGTGAGCCAGTGCGACAGCGTTTGTTGAATGTTTCATGTGGCTGAACGATGGAAGCTGGTCCGAAGAGGACTGAAATATTTAGTCCAACCTGCCTTCGGTTTAAACAACTCCAGCCTCAAAGCGTGGTGCGATGCGTCGTTCCAGCAGGAGACTGACTCTTCTGTTTTCTTTCTCCTCTTCACTGTCTCACTCTCCCCCCCTCGCTCCCGCAGGTCCAGGCCATCAACGAGTCGAACCGGTTCGAGGCGGAGATCCGCCAGGAGCAGGAGGAGAAGAAGAAGCAGGCGGAGGAGAAGAAGCAGCGGCAGGCGGCCTTCAAGGAGCTGCAGTCCGCTTTCAAGTGACCCTCCTGCGCCACCCCACCCCCCCCGCCTCGCTCCGCCCGCGCGTCCGTCTGCGTCCGTGTCTTCTCCCCCCTTCAAAAAGAAAGTCTAGGATTTAAAACCGATAATCTGGCCGGGGTCCAGAGAGGTCCATTCCTGAGAGGCTGTGGGACTGTACAGGCCTGTTCAGGGCGAAAGTCTGAGAAAATAGCTCAGATACCAAATCTGTCTCTGCTGTGTCCCAGATCCTGCCCATGGGCTTTTAACCCAGCTAAACGTCAGTAGTTAATTTCTCGATTTTATTTCATGTCGCATGAAAATATTAGAGAGGCTCAAAAAAATGATAAACTGCGGCACTTTTGAGCCAGGGTTTAAAACTTATCAAATGTGGCACTTAACGATCCTTGAGCGTATTAATGTTTCAGCAGTCCTTGATGTGAAAGTAAGCTAGATTGCCAACCCGACGATGCCATTTAAATGAATGATGACGGTGTCCATCTATCTCCTCATTTCCATTTCTGAGTCTTGACTACCGTTATCTCATAACTGGGCCACAACTTGCAAAGATTGAAGAATGTCCGTCTGCTCCAAGGTTGAAGCTGTGGGGGAAAAGAAACAACCCAGTGTATTTGAACATGCGGAGGACTTGTGGTTTTTGTTATAATCCCTTCAGTCTAAGACTCCCAGGCTTGAGCCCTCGATGAGCATGGGGATTTCTGGTCTTCAGTTCACAGGAGCTCTCGTTAGCTTAATTAGGTACCTTGTATGTGCAGCAGTGAGTCCGCAGTTCAGAACTCAGGCTGGACACTGCTGTAGGAAGGTACCTCACTCAGATCACTCCAGTACATGGTGTGCACATTCGTTTCTGTGTATTGGATTATTGTAAATGACAATTTTATTATGAATTGACCGTGTCCTTCAAATGAAATTGCATGTGGTCGTAAGGAAAAAGAAATGCTCTAGGTGAACAAAGAGAGCAACTCTAGTGATCTGTAAGACAAGGGATCCCCTTGGCTCAGACATCTGGACCCCGAAAGCGCCCTGCGGGGTCACTGTGTCATTCAGGCCTGCTCTGAATGGAACTGCTTTCAGACCTGCACACTGTTTGTCAAGTCATGTACTGCGCACGCAGCAAGCGCTTTGCTGAACAGCAGCCTGGTGCAAAAGCAACAAAACTACACACGACAGCCTCTTTGAGCACAACTGCTGCTGTGAAAGGAAATTGCATCAGTGCACATACGTGCAGACACATGGTGAAAAACAAATGCAAAAGCTTCTAGTGAATGGTAAAATGCCTAAAAAATTGTTTATATTTTTAAATGTGTGGGGAGGGTTGGGGGTTAATATTGCATGTGTGGTGGTGGTGGTGATTTTCCGTTTCCTAAAGTGGTGGTGGCGGCTGGGGGTGGGTGGGCAATGTGTTGTTCTGCATGGTCACTGTGAGGTCATGACAATCCTGCTTTGGATCTGATCTGAACCCAGCCTGGACTCCAGCACTGAGCCATCCACCAGCCACCTCGTCCCCTCCTGTTAACAGATCATCTCTCTTGCCTTAATTCCAGCCCCTCTTTTTTTGCCCTGCAAAGTATTTGAACATTTTGCAGGACATTTGAACTTGAACTTGAACTTTATTGCCATATGTAACCGGTACAGTACCGGTTACATATGGCAATAAAGCATTTCTAACCTGCTGCAGTATTGAACCAGGCTCGCTGGTCTTGAGGACTTTTCTGCCAGGTTAACACTGACCCTGCCTTGTGTGAACCATGCCTGTCACGTCTGCAGTAGATTCCCAGCCGTGTCCGAGCCAGCGGTGGCCCCGTTATTAAGAAGCAACGACCCAGCCAGCGCGCCCAGCAGTGGCTGTGACTCGGGGAGGTCCGATTTTAAATGATTCCACAACGAAAACCAAGGGAATCCGGATGGAGATGCCGCCTAAGCTACCGACAGAGGAGTTCAGACTCTGATGGGTCGACACGTACCTTCCCGTTGTGCTCCGGGTTCGAGCCTGACCGGGGAGGGAGGTGGAGGAGGGAAGCCCAGCAGCATCCCCGCGTATTAAAACCTTCGCTGGCCTGGCAGTCGCTATTCCTGCCTTCCCGAGAAAGTGGGCTGGAGCTCTTCTTTTGCAAGTCAGGGCTGCTCAGTAAAAACCGCCCCCGCCGTCACTCGTACCAAAAAGTTTCCAGATGGTGGGACAGACGAGGGGCCAGCCCAGCTCTGGGTTGCTGGGGAGACCTGGAAGACGAGGTGGCTGATGGGTAAATCCATGAACGGATCCAGCGGCTGTGGTCCTGGAGCTCCTAATTCAGTGCTTCCGGGTCTGTTCTTGTGATGTGACTGTGCAATATCTGTGGGGCAGGGGGTGGGCAGGGGAGGGAGGGGGGACAGCCGCATTCAGTATACTGCATGAGCCTTGTGCGTGACCGGCCAGCAGCTGGTGTCCGGTGCTTTTTAATTCCTGCGTTTAGCTCGGCAGCTGACGCGCTTTCAAATTCATAAGAGGGGGGAATTCTCAGCCAGGCTGAGAACTGCGGTACATATCAGAGCGATCTCTTCACTGTTCCTCTAGTGTGGTGGAGGTTATTCCTGGCCAGCTTCAGGTGTCCTTGAAAAAGTCTGTGCTTAATGACCTCGATGATGGCTTTTATACGTTCCTCCTCTCGTTGCGAGCCCTGTCGGATCTCTGTATGCTTTTTTCATCCCACTTCCGGGCAGGAGACCGATCTGTAGTTTGAGGTCTTGGGTGCATCGGTAAGAAATGGGCCGTGATAATGAAAGGAGCAACAACAGTATCTTTCTACAGCCTAGAGAGCAGATGCTGCCGTTTCAAAAGTCCTTAACCTGTGTGTTTCCCACTTAGTGTACTTAGTTAATCCTACAGGCTTGTGTGATGTTCCTCTTAATTAAGCTCTGCCTCTTGAAATAAAAGTGCAGTTTAGTTTGACATATATTTATTTATTCTGCATAGTTGCTAATGAGTAGGTCATAGTGTGGTAGCAACTAAAGGGAGGTTTTCTTTAGTGTGTCGTTATCCTGATTTAAGAGTGATTAAGAACATCACCACAGTTCCAGTCTGGAGTCTGTACTCCCTGAGTTCCACGATACCAGAGCATTTGCAAGCAAATTAGCAAAACCAGAATGTGCAAGGGGTCTGAAGACTGTTCAAAAGTGGGATCAAAACAGTTGGACATTGCCATCAAGGTCTGATTTCCTACAGTAGAAGGGCAGTCGTGTGTAGGAAACAGTGAACAAGACCTGGACAGAACGAAAGAAGTGAGATTGCAATCGCAATGGTTTTTCCTTTTTGTGGTCTCGTAAAGAAATTCTTGTTTTAAACTGTTGTTTTTTTAAGAAGTAGACTGAAATAAAGAATATTTATTTTATAACATTTTAGGTCCTTTAATTCCTTTTGAAAACTGGAGGATCGTTTAACAGCCGTCGGAGTCATTAGTGCTTCCCGCCCATGATGGGATAGAGCTGGGACGAGTGGCTTTGAGACCAGTTTAAAAATGATAACCAACCATCTGGCTTCACACTGTGGCTCAGCAGACCTGAATTGTGGTGTAAATATATAAGAAATATTTTTTCATTAAAAATAAAAGGGTTTTAGTTTTGTATGGTGACAGATTCCATGTAACGCAAAACATTCCGAAATGTATTCCAAAGGGCAGTTGTCCACAAGCTGTTCTTTTCTCCCGGAGTTCTTAATGAAATCTTGCATTGCACGGTCCGCATCTTGCAATCTGGACTGGCTCCCTGACTGAAACGATTCCATAACTATTCAAGGACTGGGCAGCTAGCTTGTGGACACAGGCTGTATCTTGGATTGAGCCGGACCCATTCACCCATGTGAGAGGAGCAAAGTGCGTAGTGGCCTCAATACCAGCCTCTTCAATAATCCAATTTAGCGAAAAACGAACAATATAGTAATCTTGTGAACTTGTTAGGGCTGGTTCAATTAGTCCAGGCACCTGGGGTCCAGGCTCAGTCTGAGACACAGCCGCTGCTGAAAGACAATTAACGCAACACCTACATACCTTCATTTCCATTGAGGAGTGCTCGTCTTGTTGAGTTATTGGGTCTGTTATTTGTGGGGAAAATGGTGCCAAATAGTGAAGGGGGTCTCCGTTCTGTTGAGTTCGTGGGTGACCAGCCCTGATCCTGGACGAGGAACAACCCACCAAGGCTTTAAGCTCTCGATTTCTAGAGATTCGAACATGTGTGGAATACTGGGAAGTGTAGTAAATGCACTGCCTCATTTAAGCCAGACATTGTTCTTGCCAGCTGCTGAGTTGAAATGTTCATTTCCAGTGAATCTTTCAGCTACTGTAGATGAACCGAATCAGCTGCTTAGCTGATCAAAACAAAATGAGCTAGCTGTGTTTAGAGATGGATGATTTAAAGTCGAACCTGCTGGATTGAATCTTTCCAGTACCAGGGCCGGTCACCCCTAGTTAAGCTTTAACATGTCAGGAAACAAAATAACTTTGGAAACAGAGCAGGGCAAGGGTAAGGAGACCGATAAAAATTGGGTAAGAGTTACAGACAGTCTGCCTAGAATAGGAGTCTTAAGAAGCCTAATAGACGACAGAATATTTGAGTCTTCCCTAAAGGGAAAATGGGGAATGCTCTATAATCCATGTCCAGAGTATGCAATGAAATTCCTGCCTCATTTTCCCTGTGTTAATCTTCGGAAAGCCATCTCTCAGGTGCAGCTTACAGAAACAGTAGCAGACGCTCACTGTGTCCGGCTCATTTATCCTGTCAGTCAAGACAAAGTTCCAAACTGGTACAGAGTTGTGTCAGAAGGTCTCCTGGCTCCTTTCTGCCACAGCTCTGTCCATCCTTGAGATACAGAAAGGCTCTTTTCTCTTGCTTGAACCTGTAGCTCTTAGTTGATGAAAGAATACTCTTTAAGAAAGCACCCCTGTAGACAGCTGTTTGGCCCAATTTCCCTCTACAGTGTTTTGTCTTTTAAAAGACATTCCTTTCTTCTCTGTCGTGGTCTACATTGTCACGTGTGGTTTTGCACCAGCTGTGTCAAAGTTTATATTTTATATGGTGGAACATCTTGTGGGCTTATTTTTTTTAAAAGTCAATATTAAAAATAAATGGCTACTTAATACAAATTTATTTTTGATTTTCTTACTAAAATGTATAATTATTCTTGTGGCAATAAATAAAAATCAACTATAATTTGAAATGTGATTTTTCTTCCTTTTTTGGGGAAGGGGTATGGGTATTTTGCCCACAGAATTCAGTAAGCACGTTTTATATTGAATATTTTGCATGATTTTGATATAGCGTTGGAATATGGCTGTTAAGAACGGACACTTATAAACTTCACTGACATGTTTTAGACCCTAAATGAAAAAAAAACGGCCATACAGTCCACTCATCCATTTTCAAAAATAGAGCCTACCTCAGCAAGCAATGGGCACAGGGCAGTCTGGACAGAACAAGTCCATCGCAGGGCAGACACACAATTACAAAGACACACTCACACCAATTTTCGCCAATTTTCCCAGAAACCAGTTAACCCACCAGCACATCTTTGGAGAGAACTTGCACAAACTCTGGAAGAGCATACAAACTCCATGCACATAGCACTCTGGGAATTGAGCCCAGGGCCCCAGCACTGCAAGGCAGCAATGCTGCCCTCCAAGCGATCAGTCACTGATACCTTGCCTTCACTTCTCACATTAAGTTGAGTCAATACAGATCAAGAACAGGAGTTCAGCACTTGGTTTGGAATACACTTGAACATGCTTGATGGTGTGTTTTTATGACTGGGGAACATTTTGCATGTGTATACACGTCTGATAGAAAACACAGGGATGTAATCAAAGGAAAGCACTTCTGATCTAGAGTTGTGGTGGGCAGGCCGATTAAGCCCAGGAGCTGTTGTACGATCAATGCACCAGAACACTCACCACACATCAGCTCTCAAGGGGGGAGGAGAACAGAGTGATGAAGCCAGTTCAGAGATGGGGATTAGGAGGCCATGACTGGTAAGGGCCAATTGGAAATTTGGTCTGGACGACGGGGTTACACCCCTACTCTTTTTGAGAAACACCCTGGGATTTTTAATGACCACAGAGAGTCAGGACCTCGGTTTTATGTCTCATCCAAAGGACATTGCCATTTGTACAGTTTAGAGTAAAAAAGGACAGTTCCTGAAATGGGATAATGATTCCTTACACTTACATAGTGCTATTAATTACTCTTTGAAGCTAATTTTCAGGGTGTATAAAGAACACCGATCAAAGTCCAACAGTAACTAATTACATTAATAATAATTGCTTACACTTATATAGCTCTTTTCTGGACACTCCACTCAAAGCACTTTACAGGTTATGGGGATCCGCTCCATCACCACCAGTGTGTGGCCCCACCTTAATGATGTGACGTCAGCCAGAGTGCGCCAGAACGCTCCCCACACATCAGCTCTCAGTGGGGAGGAGAGCAGAGTGATGAAGCCAGTTCAGAGATGGGGATTATTAGGAGGCCATGATTGGTAAGGGCCAATGGGAAATTTGGACAGGACACCGGGGTAACACCCCTACTCTTTTAAAGAAACACCCTGGGATTTTTAATGATCTCATAGAGTCAGGACCTCAGTTTTACATCTCATCTGAAGGACGGCGCCTGTTTACAGTATAGTGACCCCATCACTATGCTGGGGCATTAGGTCTCCCATCCAGGCTCATGCCTGCTGAGCTTCAGTGGGCTGCTAGTTGTGAATTGCTGGGTGATATGGCTGCTGGCTCACAAGATCTCTGCAACCAGTCCTTAGGAGAGCACCCTGGAGCAGCCAAGGATCAGCAACATTTCCAGGTAGTTCGAGATAGGAATTCCCAGGACATGCCACTTGCCAGAATCACTTTTCCAGACAGGACCCGCAGCTGGCGTCTCCTTGAACGGCGGGTGCTAGCGAGGCGGAACGCATTGCGTGGGCACGAGTTGTAGTCCGGACCTGACTCAAACGGCACACGGAAGCTGGGCTTGTTTGGGAAGTGGTGAATGTTGCTGAAAAAGTCCAGCTGCTGACATACGCTACATGCGTGGATTTTGTGTTTGTGTGTGTGTGTTTTGGGAATCGTCGCGTTAAATTGCATTATCTTTTTTGGGGGGGCTTATTTCAAACGGCAAATCTCTGCTTCTCGAAGACTGTTATATCCGTTCGCTGTTCAACGTTCAAGATTTTTTTTTTCGGTACTCGACAACGATGAACGTCGATACCCCGCAGCCCGTGGCGGCTGGAGGCGCGTTGTCAAACTCTTCCACGACAAGCAACAGCAACAACAACAGCAGCAGCATCAGCAGCATCAGCAGCAGCAACAACAACAGCAGCAGCAGCGGCAACAGCGTAGCAACCAGCAGCAACACCGCCGGCAGCGCCAACAGCGTCGCCTCCGCGGCTCCCACCAGCGGTGAGCCCGTCTTCCGTTCGTGCTGCCCCGGCGGGACACGCCGCAGTTCACGGGGTGTCTCTAGCCCGGTCCCCAGCCCGCTGCCGTGGATCCGTGTGCTTGGGGTCACGCTTTGGGCGTTTTGTTAAACTGTTTGTCGTTTGGCTAGCTGGCGAATCATTTATACAGAACTCCATATGCGGTCTATACACCCGTGAGGAGGAGACGAGCGACTAATGCGCTCTTCCTGCCTGTCAAAAAACAAACTTAACAGTTGTATAACTGGACGGTTCTTCATAAGTTTTTCCAATAATAAAAAAGATTCTTGGGGAAAAAGTCGGTGGAATAAATTAGAGCCGCAGTAGTACAGTATAGTTCATAAACCAGGTTAAATACTCTGTATTTGTACGCTGTACTAATACACTGTAGTGTATTTGTAAATACTCTGTATTTGTACGCTGTACAAATGGGTTGTAGTTTGTGGTTAAATTGCCACAAAAGGTAAGAAGACCACTGGGGCGGAATAAAGAGTCTTTTACTGCTGTTCCTTCATACTTCCCGAATTTCTCAATTTCATATAGGCTTATTTTAAACCCCCTGTTTCTGGTTAATCACTATAGCTCTGTCGCTGATCCTGTATGACAAATCCTGTGTGAATTTGACATCTTCATACTTTTGTAACAATGTTCAAGCAAGACCTCTCCAAGATGATTAAAGAGGAGGAAGCAAAATCAGGATGCACAGTACTCCAAAGCCCTGTGCAACACAGACATCCTTCCCAGGATACCAGGAGCAGAGAATCATACTCATTTACACTTATGTGATGTAAAATAGCAGAGTGATCAAAATGATGTCAGCTCACCCGTTAATCTTGATTTTGTTGCGTTTTGATGTAGCTCCGCTGTCGTCTGCCTCGGTCCCCCCTCCCTCGGAGACCTTGGTGTCTAACGGGGTGTACGTGCCGCCTGGCATCGCCAACGGAGACGTCAAGCCTGTCCTGTCCAGCATGCCTCTGGCCGACTTCCTCATGCAGCTGGAAGACTACACTCCCACGGTACCTGGGGCAGCTCGGGGCTTTAAGCTACAACACACAGACACGCAGACAGAGACAGAGTCACACACACACTCACAGAGACACACGCCTGGGCCTCGCCAGACTGTAGCTGATGGCTTGTCTTTGACCTGCAGATCCCCGACGCAGTGACCGGATACTATCTCAACCGGGCTGGGTTCGAAGCCTCTGATCCCCGCATGTAAGTGTTAACTTCACTATCTGCTATGGCCCAGCCATCCTGTACTGCAGTTACTAGAAGGCAAATTTTAATATTCCAGTATGTGCTGTGCAAAGTTTTTTTTATTAACATGAATTGTAAGTTGTATCTTTTGTATACAAGTTTCTAAATGTTTTTTGTTGTAGTTTTTGTAAATTTCATTCTTTTTAATTTGTGTTACTATAAATCTCTGTACAGTATTGTTGTTAAATTATATTTTATGCCTCGAATATTAAAGGCAGTTTTAATAGTAAGAAATAATGAGAAATGAATGAGTGCAATGCAAAGTAGAGTGCATTTACATGGATGTTAGACATTTACATGTTAATGCTGTTAACCTAGCATTAACACGAGGCAATAGTTCATTCCAGTACGTGGTGGAAATAGAATTCCTTTAACAGAATTACGCAAAGGAATAATGTGAAGAGTATACTTGTGTTATAAATAATTTGATGTATTTGGAGAATGTGAGGGACAAATTGAAATCATGTGGTTCACTCAAAAAGACAAACTATCCAAACTTCCTTTCTAGTGTGTCTTACCCCCTTGTGCATTTTTCATGACTGTTGCCAGCAGCCCTACAGCTCACAGCTGACACCCCACTGGAGCTCAGCAGGTGTGAGCCTGGTCAGTACCTGGATGGGAGACCTGCTGGGAAAAACTAAGGTTGCTGCTGGAAGAGGTGTTAGTGGGGCCAGCAGGGGGCGCTCACCCTCCAGTCTGTGTGGGTTCTAATGCCCCAGTATAGTGACAGGGACACGAGACTGCAAAAGGGCACCGTCTTTTGGATGAGACATAAAACTGAGATCCTGACTCTCTGTGGCCATTAAAAAGTCCAGGGCTTTTCTAGAAAAGAGTAGGGGTGTAACCCTGGCACCCTGGGCAAGTTTCTTATTGTCCCTTACCAATCATGGCCTCCTAATAATCCCCATCTATGGATTAGCTTCATCACTCTGCTCTCCTCCCCACTGATAGCTGATGTGTGGTGAGAGTATTGAGCATCATCCAGGTGGATGCTGCACACTGGTGGTGGTGGAGGGGAGTCCCCATTACCTGTAAAGCGCTTTGAGTGGAGTGTCCAGAAAAGCGCTATATATGTGTAAGCAATTATTAATTACAAGACACTGACAAGACAGTGCTACAGACAGTGTAGACATAGACATTTCTGACAGGGTACATAATAATAATAATAATGTTTCTTTATTAGCCCTATACAATTTCTTGCATTAGGAATGCGTCTTTTCGCATACCCCAGCTTTTCTCCAGGGAGACACAGACAGGGAGAGAAGCTTGGGGTCAGAGCGCAGGGTCTGCCATTGTACGGCACCCCTGGAGCAGCTGGGGTGAAGGGCCTTGCTCAGGGGCCCAACGGAGTAGGATTCCTCTGCCGGCCGCGGGATACGAACCGGCAACCTTCCAGCCACAGGCGCAGATCCTTAGCCACAGAGCCACCGCTCCGCCCCGTCATAAAGTGCAATGTGCAGAGTGCAATTTACTTTACAGGATTTTGCAAAGAATTGTGTAAAGAATAAATCAGACAGTGTGCCTGACATTAGGCAAAGAGAACTAGGTTTCCAGATTTGGAGTAGGTGCAGTAGGTACCAGGGTGTTGAGGAGCCTGACAACCTGCGGGAAAAAAGCTGTCATGGAGTCTGGTGGAGCTGGCTCGTATACTGCCATACCTTTAACCAGATGGTAAGAGAGCAAAGAGGTTGCAGGAGGGGTGGGAGGGGTCGACCACGATTCCAGAGGTTCTGTGTGTGCAGCGTTTGTGGAAGATGTCCTGAATGGACGGAAGGGAGGCTCCAATGATGTTTCCTGCTGTATTGACAATTCGTTACAGGGACCTGCAACTGAGACCTTACCATTCCCAAACCAAACAATGATGCAGTTTGTCAAGATGCTCTCGATGGAGCCTCTATAGAATGTGGATAGTATGGGGGTGTGGGGGGGAGGAAGGTTTGCCCTTCTCCGTCACCGCAGGAAGTGGAGACGTTGTTGTGCTTTTTTAGCTTGGGAGGTGGTGTTGATGCTCCAAGTGAGGTCATTTGAAATATGCACACCAGGAAACTTAGCACTTCTAGCTGTCTCCACAGGGGAGCCGTTGATGTGCAGTGGGAAGTGATCAGCGCAGGTCTTCCTGAAGTCAGTTATCATCTCTTGTGTCTTATCGACATTCAGAGACGGATTGTTGTTTAAGCACCAGTCCGCTAGTTGCTCCACCTCCTCTCTGTATGGTGCCTCATCGTTGTTACTGATGAGGCCCACCACTGTCGGGAAACGTGATGATGTAGTTTGTACTGTGCTGAGCAGTGCAGTCATGAGTCATACACTGTATGTCATACTCACGTATGATTGATACATACACTGTCGGTAGCTAAAGAAGGATTATTGCTCTCGCTTCAGAATCCGTCTGATCTCTCTGGCGGCTCAGAAGTTCATCTCAGATATTGCCAATGACGCCCTGCAGCACTGCAAAATGAAGGGCACAGCGTCGGGCAGCTCTAGGAACAAAACCAAGGTAAGGAAACCTGGGCACTCCAGTGGCTCCACCATTAAAGAGTCTCGATCAGCCAGAGGACTGATCGCTCCGATATCACCGGTTCGAACCTGGGTTATAGTGCCTCTGCAGTTGATTGGGTTAAAGTCATTCTGGGCTTTGATAAGCTTGACATGCTACACTGACTGCTACTGGCTACCTGAGGCAGGTCTGATTCCTTGCAGTGTGTTGAATGATAACGATGACAGGCAGTTGTGTGCATAGATCCTGTTCATTTGTGTCTTTGGAGGTGTGATAGGCAGTCCTCGCTAGCCAAATTTGAGAGGGTATAACAACACAGCAAAAAATGTAAAAGCTTTCAGCAAGAAACAATTCTACTCATTGTATGTACTTACTTGAGCTACAGCAAAGTTTTGACGGAGAAAAATGTATGTGTTCCTCTCGGTTGTCAGTTTCTTCCAGATTATTACATAGATTGAAAACAAGTGAGCCATCCATTCACCCACTTTATAACTGCTTCTACTAATTCAGAAGTATTTTTGCGGGGGAGCCAGAGCCTATCCCAGCAAGCATAGGGCAGGGTACACCCTGGACGGGACGCCAGTCCAATCGCTGGGCAGACAGACACAGATACAGACGCACACACCCTCATTCCTAAGGGGGATTTTCCCAAAAGCCAATTGACCTACCAGTATGTTTTTGGACAGTGGAAGGAAAACCCATGTGAAAGCAGGGAGAACATACAAACTCCACACAGACAGCACCCCAGGTCAGAAATAGATCCCAGGGCCCCAGCGCTGCAAGGCAGCAATGCTGACCACTGCTCCACTGTGCCTCCCCACAGCCTTTAGCAATCAAACTTTCTCTCCCCTACCAGGTGCACCTGTTGTTCTAAGCTATTCCTATAGGTGGTAATTAATTCACAGACATGCAGCTTTCAGCATAGGTCTGCTCAGCCAGTGTCATGTCCACCCCTTTGTCTGGACTCACGGTGCTCATCAGCATATCCTGCAGACGCGGAATTTTTTCCAGTGCGCTGACTGACTGTTTTGGGGTTTGATTGTCGCAGGACAAGAAGTACACCCTGACGATGGAAGACCTAGCCCCGGCTCTCTCGGAGTACGGGATCAATGTGAAGAAGCCTCATTATTTCACATGAAAGACTGTCGTTGAGGGGGACTGGCCGGCAGGAACAGAGATGGCTCTCCTCGTCCGTCACACACCCGCAATGTCCTCGCAGTCGTCTCTTCCCACTCAACTTCCCCGTCTCAGTGCTGGTTTCTCCTGTGACATCTGTGTAGAATTCCTTTTGTTGCATACTGTGCCTAACTTTAGGTGTGCTGTGTTTGTCAGTCGTATAAAAGGGTTTGGTGGTAACCTGGGTCGATGCAAAAGAATAAAGTTTTTTAAGAGCCTGTTCTTCTTTCAGTGCGCTGTCCATCTCTGAAATGAAGAGATTCAGAACAACAGTATGTGTCCTTTTCATTTTCAGTGCACACGTCCTTTTTGGTGGTCTGTGCAGAAAGGAGGATGAATGCCAGTGTTTCCTGGCTTTCTGGAAAACACTGAAGCAATAACTATTTCAAGTCCTGAAAAAAAGTCATTTAAGAAGGAGAAAACGGGAACTTGCTTGTTTAAATTATAACGGAATGATGTGTTAGGAAAAGGCAGCTCTCCGGGCTATGCTGCAGTCCTGGATGCAATTTTGTCCACAATCTCTAAATTCGTGGCTGGGAGATTAAGTCCACACCTGGATTTATCACCCTGCAACTCACAGCTGGCAGCCCCACTGAAGCTCAGCAGGTGTGAGCCTGGCCAGGAGCTGGATGGGAGACCTCCTGGGAAAGCTGAGGCTGCTGCTGGAAGAGGTGTTAGTGGGGCCAGCAGGGGGTGCCCACCCTGCGGTCTGCGTGGGTCCTAATGCCCCAGTATAGTGACGGGGACACTAGACTGTAAAAAAGAGCCATCTTTGGATGAGACGTAAAACCGAGGTCCCGACTCTCTGTGGTCATTAAAAATCTCAGGGCGTTTCTCGAAAAGAGTAGGGGTGTTACCCTGGTGTCCTGGTCAAACTTTCCCCTGGCCCTTACCAATCATGGCCCCCTAATAATCCCCATCTCTGAACTAGCTTCATCACTCTGTTCTCCTCCCTGCTAATAGCTGGTGTGTGGTGAGCATTCAGGTGCAGTATAGCTGCTGTTGCATCATCCAGGTGGGGCTGGAGGAGAATCCCATTACCTGTAAAGCACTAAGAGTGGAGTGTCCAGAAAAGTGCTGTATACATTTAAATATCACACCTGAAGAAGGCTCCACGGCCGAAACGTTGTGTTCTCTTCTTTTTTTCAGCATGGAATAAACCTATTACTTGTTCCTTTGCAGCCTACGCATGCTGACGCAGCTACCCACCTGAACTACATTTAAAGAATTATTCTTATTCTAAAACCTTTGTAACATCCTAACCCTCCAGAACCTCTTATGGAATGTAATTTGTGGTATTTTTTAAACAACTGTTTTGTGTTAAATTTTCTTTGTAACAAAAGTTCAGTTTTGTATTCACTTAAAAATGTCGAGGGTGTGATAACTCGAAGTATTTCGCTAAACCAAGCCAAAACGAGAGGGAAAGTTTGCGCATTAGTCAAACAGGCATTTTGTCCGTTATCGTTACCCGTAGGCGATTGACCCTTCCCGGCTGCCGTACTAGTGAAGTACTTTCATTTGAAACAAGCACGGCAATAGGGAGGTTTGAATTAAGTTTTATTTTAAATACCAAAACTGCGCCAAAATAGTCGTTTTAAGAAAGTAAATCCACAATGAACGTGCAGCCTTCGAATCCCAGCAACCCGATTGTGTTCTTCGACGTCACTATAGGCGGACAGGTGAGTGAATATGATGAAATATTTACTCGCGTGCAATCGTCCATCGTTCATTCTTTGATCATTCTGCACAGACTTTAAGATGTTTTTTCGTTTTAATTGCCGTGATAACAAAATGCATTTTTTTTAACGACGCGTTACATTTGAGTCAACATGCTTGTCCTTCATAGTGACGTTATTCAGTTTTCTTCGTGTCAGTGTTGTTAGGAGCGTTTTTAAAAAGTTGTCTTCGAGTGTGATACACATGACCTCGTGCTTTAATATCAAATCTCAGAAGACAAAAACAAACTCTTACTTTCGAAAAGAAGGCAACATGGTGATAGAGGAGATCTCCATTATTTTGTCAAGAAATATGATAACATGCTGCCTGCAATATAATGATAACGCGTTATGGTTCGGAGAGTCCAGATTGTGAAGTTTTTGGAACCAGACGATGCCATTCTGTAGTATCATTCAGCCAACTGTTGAATTTGCGGGAAGCGGGGCAGTGGTCAGCATCACTTCCTCGCAGCGTTGGGGTTCAGTTCCGGGCCAGGGGTGATGTTCTCCCCGTGTTCGCGTGGGTTTAGGCTGAAGGTGGCTCCAGTCTCCTCCCACAGTCCAAAAACATCCTTCTGGAGAACACTGGTGAAAACTATGGTGTGAGTGTGTCCGCCTGTCTGCTCTGCAGTGGACTGGCGTCCTGTCCAGGGCGTATCCTGCCTTGTGCCTGTTGGTTGCCATGGTAGACTCCAGCTATCTGAACTTTGGTTAAAAAAAAAAATTGTTAGGAAAACGAATGGATTTATGGCAGGTTTCGTAGCTCTGCCTACAGAGGTGCTGTGCTGCGCTGCGTGGGCACACAACACAATGGAGACACATTTCAATGAGGGAATTAGTAATAAATTACGAATTACTATCAGTTACTGTAAATGGCTTTAATAGTAGTTATAGTGGGAGCAGTATGCTTACGGTTTCATTACAGGAAGTGTTGGCATTGATAACCCCAGTGGTAGTATTGTGCCGTCACATCACCAGGTTGTTATCATGTTGATCTGTTTTCAGGGCTCTATGCTGAAGCCTTATGCCAGTGCTGGAGCTGATGTTGTCCCTTACTGTATGTGTGTGCACCCGAACTTACCTTGGAGAATAAAGTTAGTGTTGCCAGGTTTTCTGTTGCATTATAATTCACGCAGTTGCTGTCCTCCACTGTGACTTTGTGCTTGGTTACAATGTGGCAGCATCTTCTCCTGCAACACTCGACGAGACAGAGATGTGCCTCGCTCAAAGGTGTAACAGCAGTACCTTTTGAACCCACAGGACTCACTGCTAGTCACACTGCTGCCCAACAGTGTAAGCATAGTTCTGCAGTATTTAAGAGTTGGCCAGTACTGCATATCACCAGCAACTCAGCCATATCACCCTGCAACTCACAACTGGCAGCCCACTGAAGCTCAGCAGGCGTGAGCCTGGTCAGTACCTGGATGGGAGACCTGGGAAAAACTAAGGTTGCTGCTGGAAGAGTTGTTACTGGGGCCACCAGGGGACGCTCACCCTGTGGTCTGTGTGGGTCCTAATGCCCCAGTATAGTGACGGGGACACTATACTGTAAACAGGTGCCGTCCTTCGGGTGAGACGTAAAACGGAGGTCCTGACTCTCTGTGGTCATTTAAAATCCCAGGACGTTTCTCAAAAAGAGTAGGAGTGTAACCAATTTTCCCATTGCCCCTTACCAATCATGGCCTCCTAATAATCCCCATCTCTGAACTGGCTTCATCACTCTGCTCTCCTCCCCACTGAGAGCTGATGTGTGGTGAGCGTTCTGGCGCACTATGGCTGCTATGTAGTAAAAAAGTTAGGAAGTGATTAATTGCCCCCAGTGCATGTTTTCCGTCTTAAATTCCAAGAGTTTCCAAACAAGCCAAGACTAGAGTCGACTTGAGTTATTTCATATTTGCCCACAAGGTGGCGCTGGGCCGCCTTTCCGCTCTCATGTTATAAACAAGTGGTCGGAAGGCACAACACCTCGCTCTCCACAAACTACACCGCCAGCACTAGGAATTTCTAACTGGAAAATCGGAATATCCCGTATGGTACTGAAGTATGGAGAGTGACAGCACAGTTCTCCAGAAAAAAAAAAAGATCAGATTCACTTTTTTTCAAGAATAGAATTGCAAGCCGCAGCCTGTTGATGTGAGAGTTTTTTAAAACCTGATTTTTTTTTTTACAGTGTCTTCATTTGTATTTACTTTTATGCACAACCAGTACATTATCTTGTTTTGTTGTGACAGCATTTTCCTGTCAGCATAAGTCATTTCAGGCTTGTGATTTCCTGCGATTTCTGATTTTAACAAAGATATTCATCTGTTCACATTCATCAAATCAAATTTGATTCAGAGAACAGAATGACTGCGATAAAAATGTCCTTGACTTTAAAAAGGTGAGGTATTTCCCTGCATCATTGGCTAGTAAGTTTAGAAATATGATGTGATTTTGGAAATCATGTGAAAATAATTGCAGCTGATTGGTTCAGAACAACCTTGACTTTCATTGATACTGGCCTTTCCAATGGCCCATTGAACATGTGCTGTGTGTTCTAGTTTTTCTGGTTCTACTGTAACTCGAGTCCGGAAGGAAGTCTAGTCTTGATCATAATTTTAATTCCATTACTACCATTAGACATGCTTTGATTTGTTTTCTTTTTTGCAAGTAAGATTGTCTTAAGCTGTTTAATTCCATTAAAATGCCTTGTCTCAACAAGTATTTTGATCATGTATTGAAGGTTCTTTGTCGTTTTAGATGAAACAGTCAAGGGCAGCCGAACATGCTAAACATGGTTCATAAGGTTAGGAATGTCAGCTTTACTCATTGTAAAGAAAAGATGTTACAACTTACAAGCACCTGTCATATTTTGAATTTTACGTTGTTAGCTTGCTAAGCAAAAGCAACCTCCAATACCTTGTGAAAAAAGATGTCATCATTTAATGATTGACAAAACTCTGCATGCTGTTAAATGGTTCTGTAACACTGTTCAGTGTCATTTCTAGTTCTTTGGTTCCAATAAAACAACATCATTTTCATTGTTTTATTTGGTATACGACTCGGTATGCTTTACTAATCCTGAAATCAAACTATGAGAGAGTCTCCATATATAAACATGCAAAATAGTTTGTGGTATACCGCGGTACGTTGTCCAGAGGCACTACCCAACCATACTGATATTAACATTTGGCTTGGTTGGGTATAGATAGCCATATTGTTTATTTTGTTTACTGTTGAGAGTTGTCTCCTTAATGCACTGAAGATACAGTATTAGTAGTAATTCAGGAAGCCAATGGATAATGGCGTATAGAGCAAAATATACCTTTTAATTGAGCTGAGTGGATCTTAAAAGCTTTTGTGTCAAGGTGATATGATTGTCTGTACTTGCCCCCAGCTATGCTCTTAGTGGCTTATTAATTTAGGCCTTTAGTTGTACTTGGTGCTTCATTTTTCTCCTGTTTCAGACTTTGATTTTATACATGTGGTGGAAGGAGTGTTGCTTCACTGCTCATCCTGCCCTTACATCCTGCCTTGTTCATGTCTAAACAGCTCTTAATGAGAGATGGGTGGGAATGGCCCTGTGCCCACAGAGGTTCCTGTGCTTGTATCCCGCACACCTGAAGGACTGTGGGTGGGGAAACCGAGATGCTGCTCCACAGCTGCTAGTAGTGCTACCCCCCTCTTCAGAGCTGTAAACAGTGCTGACCCAACCGCAGATCGATTCAACCGATAGCGCAGGAGCTGAGCTGGAATGAAGAGCAGCAGCACACTGGGGTCCCTCCCTGGGCTCACGCGACCCCATCACCCCATCACTTTTAGGTCATAATTAACATCCGTCACCACATTATGGAGTGGCTGTTTCCTTCGTTCACCCCGGAAGTGCATTACTATGCCTAAAACAAATACATATATGTTTTGGTTTAAAAACATTTTCTGCTGGGGACCAGGGTGGTGCAGTGTTCAGCATTGCTGTCTCGCAGTGCTGGAGCCCTGGGTTCAATTCTGGACCCGGGGTGCTGTCTGTGTGGAGTCTGTATGTTCTCCCCCAGTTTGTGTGGGTTTCCTCCAGGTGCTCTGGTTTCCTCCCGCAGCCCAGAGCCATACTGGTAGGTTATTTAACTTGTGGGGAAAACTGGCCCTGGTTGGATTGTGTCTGTGCCTGTCTGAGCCCTGTGACAGACTGGTGTCCTGGCCGGGGTGTATCCTGCCTTGTGCCTGTTGCTTGCTGGGATAGGCTCCGGCTCCCCTCCCTAACCCTGAATTGGATAGAGCTGTTAGAAAGTGGATGGGTGGATGTTTTTCTGATCTAAAAAAGATTCAGTACACATTTCAGCGATTTCTCAAAGATCTAATGAAACGGGATTAAATTACCATCTTCGGTAATAACGGATTGTACCTGATGTCAGAGAGGCCAGTGTGAGTTCGATGACACAGTCTGAAAACTGTTAGCGCGTGCTTAGAGGAGTATATCTATAGCTGGGTGGAGGCTGGGCGTGGGCTGTGCTGGAGGGGGGCCGGGCAGGGGCTGGAGGAAATGGGAGAGGAGCAGAGCAGCGCAGGTCAGTGCACGCCCGGCACTGCCAGAAAAATGGTTAACCTGCTCACTAGCCACGATCACCGAGCTATGGAATGGAGTCAAGGGGTGTGCCGGCGTTCTCCTGTTAATCGTGTCTAAGTACGATGGTTTCAGTCTCAGTGTGCTGGTGTGGCATAACGTGTGCAAAGGCTTTACGTTTGCTCCTGTTTTACCTTATTTATTCAAGACTGCTGCACGCTACACAAACACCTTCCTGCCCAGGACAGTACAGAACATCAGGAAGGGACTGTTTTCTCCTCCGTTTGCATCTCTCCTGGTTGGGTTCCTAGATCTTACAGGAGACACCCATCCATTTTCTAACGACTTCATCCGATTCAGGGCTGTGGGGGAGCGGGTGTCTATCCCAGCAAGCCGTGGGCTCAAAGCAGGATACACCCTGAATGGGACGCCAACCCATTGCAGAGCACACACACCAACACAAGCTCACACCTGGGCCAATTAAGGGGAGGAAACCAGCACACCCTGGAGGAAACCTACTCCAACAGGGAGAGGACATACAAACTCCACACAGACAGCACCCCAGGTCAGGATTTGAACCCAGGGCCCCACCGTGCTCACCACTGTCTTACTGGAAATGACCGTGCGTGTCATGACAACTGTGTTTGCCCAATGCACAGTGAACACAAAAACGAGTTTCACAGGACTTGGTTCCTTTCAGAGTACCCCATTTCCCATGAGAAATGTCCACATAGCAACCGGCTAGTTGTCATGAGCAGACCTGCTTCTATGAGGGAGTCTTTGGGGACTGTCTCGTGAATTGTGGTGTTGAACAAGCCTAGGTGAGACTCTCTTGTGCAGCTGAAAGGTGAATGCATCAGTAATAAATGTTCGAAGATGCTGTTTCACCTGGTTCTTTGGAAAATGAGGTTTAGGGGGCTCCTCAGATGCTGATATCCATCTGAGTCTGATTTGATATCTCTCGCGAAGAGGGTTTGTCGGCTTTTATATGCCTCGTTCAGTGCTTTTGTTCCATTCGCAAGGGGGGTATTATTATTCACAGCTGACACAAAGACAGGCCGTGCTTGAAATGCTCACAGGACTGCTGCACGCCCTATCCGCAGTAAGTGAAGAACCGGCGGGCTCCAGTTCTGTCCCGCTGTTTCGTCATGCATTCAAGGAACTGTGGGATTCCAAGAACTGCTTTTTCCCCTTCGGAGAGTGTGCTCTTTACATTGCCAGCAACCTTTTTCAGGAACCAGAGCATTTGGGTGGGGAAGGAGGGAACTGAAAAAGAACCGGTTTTATTTTCCAGCAGGTCCCTCATCTTTACGCGCTCGTTGTTGCTCACTGTGATGCCGTGCCACTCCGCGGGCGAAGAGGAACAGATGCCAGCGTGTGAGAGGAACTGGGCTCCTGGTGTGGTTCTCACCCTGCACCCTGGGTGTTATGGTACAGGGTGAGAACCACACCCTGGTTCACCCACACCCAGCCAGCAGCCATATCACCCTGCAACTCACAACTGGCAGCCCACTGAAGCTAAGCAGGTGTGAGCCTGGTCAGTACCTGGATGGGAGACCTCCTGGGAAAAACT